GGGGAAGAGAAAATAAAATCACAACGCAACATCGTGGTCAAAACATTACAAGCCAATTTTATAAATATGAATGCTTTAATATGGGCACAGATGCAGAGATTTTGATCGTTTATAGCTTTTGTAACAATTGTGGAAATAGAGTTGATATACTGGTAAGTATACATACTAAGTTTTACTTTTTATATTTATGTTTAATATCATTTGGATTTATACTTTTATAAATTGAATATTTAAATATACACTATATTAATCTGTCAGTCAGTCAGTCTCGTATACGGATCTGCTAGTGTAGGTATTTGTATATCCACTCAATTTATAAAAGTATAAATCCACAAATAAAAATGATATTAAACATAAATATAAAAAAGTAAAACTTAGTATGTATACTTACGAGTATCAACTCTACAAAAGCTATAAACGATCAAAATCTCTGCCTTGGCAAGTCTCACAATTTATATGCTGGACATCTGTGCCCATATTAAGACTATAAAAAGCACAACAAGTATTTGAAGCACAGGGAAACAAAAAGAAATATGATTAAAGCATTCATATTTATAAAATTGGCTTGTAATGTTTTGACCACGATGTTGCGTTGTGATTTTATTTTATTTTCTCTCCCCCCCCCCGTCGTATAAAACCAATAAATATTCAGGGGGGCGTGCCTTTTTTAATTCACAAGGAAAGTGCTCATCCACGGAGAAGGCACGTGTTTGTACGGAGAAGCTGCATGTTTCTGCGGAGAAGAGGTGCCCCGTTCGGGCCACCGCATCGTGTTTCACACAAATGCTACGCGTTTCCGCGGAGAAGCTGCGGTGTTTCCACAGAAATGCTGCGTGTTTCCACGGTGAAGATGCGTGTTTCCACGGAGAAACTGCATATTTGTACGGAGAAGAGGCTTTCCGTGACAGAACAACGGCAATATTCCACGGAGAAGTTTGGTTTTCATGGAATAACAACACATTTGTACGGAGAAGGTGCAAGTTTGTACGGAGAAGGGTTGGCCCGTATGGGCCACCGTACTATTTACATGCAGATCATAAACGGAGTCAGAAACACCAAGCTTATATATTAAGCATATGGTTTTGTTCCTCTCCGTTTGCTAGGCGTTTTTTCTCCTAAACATTTTCATTATTCGTATACAGCATCGAGTTCAGTATGTTGGGTTCACTATATTTCATTTTTACCATGCATATATATAGTATTAGTATAGGGCTAAATATATTGATCGGCTAAATGTAGTACCGCACTGAACAACTGTATCACGAGCTTCTCACACTACTTCTACGGAGCTTCTCACACTCATGCAATGTTCTATCGTGTTTAAGAGGAGAATCTTTTGTATGTTAAGTCAGACGCGCTCAAAACTAACGAATATATTTTTCCACTTGGTTTTGACTATATTCAATTTTTTAAATTTTTGATGCGTTTCTGAAGCGGCAAACAAACTTAAAAAGTATGTTTAGTGCTTTATCTGTAAAATTATGCTAAAATGAAGAGATTTTAGATGGTACGCCAAAGAGAAAATGATGTCTGAAGTTCAGTAAGTTTTGCTTATACATATGCTGTAAATATGGCGTCAATCTTAAAGCATCATTAGTAATTGTATTTTAATTAACAATTTTTAACTATTATTTTAGGCTATGTTTCTCAACCGGCAGATGCATTTAAAAAGGTAGCTAACTCTATAAACTAGAGAAGAAAGCTAAAACAAAGTAATTTTGAGAGGAACGCCAAAAAGATTTTAGGTTTTGAACACTTTTCATCGCAAATACGTGACATTGAAAAAAATTGCCTCTTACATACATTAAAACCACAATCAAAGAAATAATAGCCTAAAAAACCTGAAACCGAAACAGGAACCACACCAGGCCGACAAATAGGTCGATATAGAATACAAAAAAAAGCAAACAAAAAAACGTTTGTATATAACTTTCGTTGAATCAGGAAGCAAGTTTTGCACGGCAGCAAGCAGTTATGGAAGCTGCACCATGCCCAATTCAATACTATATATAGCCACTATATAGTTCAATACTTTTGCTCATAAGATCGAGCGACACACTCACTGAACTATAAACACTATAAATTCTGTAAACAGTGAATGGACATGCATTAATTCATAAACCTGTAATTGTAATTGTCATATGCTATATATATATTTATAAACTTTGTAATGTTGGAATGCGACGATCTAGCATGCTCATAGTTTAATTGCAAACCAATTTTGTGCTGAAGCTTTAGCTTCAATTAAATACTGATTGTGTTCTTGTGTTTCCCCGACAGGAATTTCCTGAAACCTCACACCCACCACAAATGTCAGCGCGGAAATTCTGTTGTTATAAAAGACGACGTTAGCTGGTCGCTGCGCACACAATCCAAGATCCACCCTGAAGACTGATATCAAATTCGAATAGGTGAGTTCAACTGTTCTTATACATTTCTATGACCATGCATGTATTTATTTATTCATGTTACAGTTGGGAGTTTATTGTTAGTACAGGTTTGCCTTAAAGTAATTTTGTAACATTTACCAAACCGCCAGTATATGTGTCGTTCCCCTCTATGACTGGATATATAGTAAGCAATATACCCTCCTAGTTTAAATAAATTTTGTTCATGTAAACTGATTTCTTGTACAGTATAACATAGATCTGCATGCTACTTAGGTACCATCAGCTCATATTCTTTGACATTGTTAATTTCGACGTGTTTTCTATAGTTTTGGTCAACATATAACCTCTCATATTTTTTTCGTATCTTTAGAAATAAAATTCTCTGAAATGTATTTCAAAATCTTGGTGCTTGTTTTGGCGTTGCCATTTTTACTCAAAGTAAGGTATTTGTTGTGTAAAACTGCAGTGTGCAGAGAAACATACGAGGGACGCTTATTAATTAAACTGATTCTGGTTCGACGAGGGCGTCTGTTATAGATACGAAACGTTTTGAGGGAGTGGGCGTTTGCAATCATTTACGGCAGTTATAAACAATGTCTGCATGGATTACTAGAGAAATTACAGTCAGAATTACACTGTTAAAAATATCTGGGTTTTTACCGAATAAGAAGTATACTGTAAATCGTAAATTACGGTAAAATGGACTGTATTTAGAAAGAAATCTGTTATTTGACATGTTTATTCGACCGTAATATTTTACAGTAAGTATTTTGTAATTGTAAATTACGAAATTTGTTACACCCTTTTTACGGTATTAATACAGACTTCGGTTAACAGTCACTGTAAAATTACAGTACATTCTCCGGCGTCACACTGCCAGTACTTTTTAATTTTACTGTAAAATTCCGGCATTTCTTTCCAACAGTATACACAATTGCATTTAGGCTAACGACGCCATGAAGATTGCCAATACATTTGATGAACAAGATCTAGCTGAAATTCCAAAGTTTGCACTAGAAGTTGAAGATGATGGTAAAAGCAACAAAGTAGCAGAAGAATACAAACGCACTCTCGAGAGTGATGGTGCTAACTCTAAGCAAAGTTTTGCAAAACTCAGTCTGAAATTGGCAAAAATGCATGTGAGTTATATGTCCGAACCTTTTGACCAATTGAGGATTTTTTCAGTAATACTTAAGTACTTAGTGATGAGAATGCATCGATTATGAATTAAATATTTAAAGTTATCCCCCCCCCCAAACCCCTCCCATGCACCATACTGCTATCACCCTCCCACCGAGTAATTATTCCAGAAGCAAGAACAATTATGCTGGAATTCCAAATCCTGACATATTCGAAGCAAATATAGGAAAAATGGAATCACCAAACTGTTTTTAATACATTAATTTCATCGAAAAAACGCGTAGCGAGCCAGTCTATATACATCATTTAAAATAAACGAGCACAGAGTTTCTGAATTTCTATGAAAGCTGTCAAGATTTTGTATACTCACGTACAGTTACAAAAGCAAACTTTTACTTCTTGACTTAATTTCGTTTTTCTTATTTCACGCCTAAAAGGTATTGGAAGAAATTCTGAGAAAAAAAAAAGCCATATCCAGTTTGTCGGATACAGTCAATGGCAATTCCAAAGGTAAAAAATAACCCAAATACAACACTCATCTGGGAGAATTGAGTAAATTAAAACAACATACACTGCCTTTTTCACAGTGTGCCTACGGGACGAAACCTAAGCTAAACTGACTTTATTTATTAACTGTTTTTCTGAACGTCCAGTAAAGATCATCGCTTATTCAGTGAGCCAGTGTTACTACAGGAGGAAACCTAAACTAAATTTATTTATACTGGATAGCTCTATCAGTTCTAAACTGTTCTCTCTAGAGGTCCAGTAAGGAGCATCTCTTATTGATCCAGTGTTACTACAGGAGGAATTAGCTAAACTAAACTAACTTTATTTATACTGGATAGCTCTATCAGTTCTAAACTGTTCTTCCTAGAGGTCCAGTAAGGATCGTCTCTTATTGATCCAGTGTTACTACAGGAGGAAACCTGAATTAAACTAACTTTATTTATACTGGATAGCTCTATCAGTTCTAAACTGTCCTTCCTAGAGGTCCAGTAAGGATCATCTGTTATTGATCCAATGTTACTACAGGAGGAAACCTAAACTTAACTAACCTTATTTATACTGGATAGCTCTACCAGTTCTAAACTGTTCTTCCTAGAGGTCCAGTAAGGATCATCTCTTATTGATCCAGTGTTACTACAGGAGGAAACCTAAACTAAACTAACTTTATTTATACTAGATAGCTCTACCAGTTCTAAACTGTCCTTCCTAGAGGTCCAGTAAGGATCATCTCTTGTTGATCCAGTACTGCATACATACTATATAAATATAAGGCACATGTAGAAACAATGGCTGTCCAATTTCATATCTGCATAAGCGCAACCAATTCAATTAATCATTCAATTAATTATGTTTTATAGAATAATGTTTATCATGTTCAATATTATACTATCACTTTATGACCAACATTTATGTAGATAAATGCAGCAAGATAGTAAAAGTGGGTGAACCAATCGTACATCATCATTCTGGATCTACTTACGGATCATGGATGCGAGATCCTCTTGGACTGCTTGGTCCAGGGAAGATTTGGTACATGAATAGTTACTACGGTAATAAAGTGTTGGAATTTGAAAGCATGGATCACTTCAAAGCTGGAGAAATTTCCAAAACCTACATTCTACCATATTATTTTGATGGTACAGGAGCTGTTGTCTATGGACGGTATCTTTACTATAACAGGTCTGTAAAAATGTTTGGAGGAAATTTTTACATGTTTTAAATTAAGAGATTTTGCCTGTAGATCAAAATTGTATAATGTGCACGTGGACTTCCAATCAGTGAGACGAGCACATACTTTAGTGTTGAACCCATAGTCATCAAGTCTTATAATCTATACGTGATGAACTTAATTTCACATGATTTTTAAGATAGATCTCAATTTCATTTATAGGGCAAACTCGTACTACATCGTGCAATACGACCTGACTACACAAAAGCTCACCAGGCAGGTACGTCCTCACAGTTCAATCAAGCCAAGAACGTATTATTATCAATGGTCAAGCCGCAACACAATGGACTTATCAGTGGACGAAAGCGGTTTATGGGTTCTGTATTCGTACTCGAGTTACAGTGGAAAGCTGTGTGCTTCTCAACTCGATCCTTTGACCATGTCAACCCTGCGTACTTACTGTGGTATTTCCTCGGAGTCCATGAAAACTATGGGGAATGCATTTGTCGCGTGTGGTGTTGTTTATAGCATCGATAGTTACAGCTCAACCACAACAACCATCAACTACGCCTATGACACAGCCAGGGGCTCCAAAATCAATCCAAAAATCAAGTTTATCAACAGGTTCGGATACAACAGTATGGTCACATACAACCCTCGCGAGAAGGTCCTCTACGCCTGGGACAAGAATCGCCAAATAACATACCCATTGGAATTTGAAGACTAAACTGACAAGTTAAAGGATTCTGGCAATGAAATTTAAGTTGATGTATAGTGAAGCTAGGGGGAAGCCAGCCATTGCAACTGGTCATGCTATGCTAATAAACCAGCATCTACTAATGAGTTAAAGATAATAAGTTCTACAATTAATTTGCAAAGGTTTGGATAATGCAAATCATTAAAAATTTCTGTAGTATGACCTGTTGCTATGGCTGGCTTGGACACTTTATAAACCGGTTTTCCACTAGGCGGAATTTTCCGCGCGGAGCGGAATTCTTCAAATCGAAGAGAAAATACAGTAGTCAGTATATTATGCGAAGTGCTGTGCTACCAGATTAACTTAAATTTCATTGCCAGACGTATATTTTTTCAACACAGAATTAATAAAACGGACACGGACATGATTTGAGAAACTTCCCCTTTTTTAACTACGTCTTAACAAAGCACTTATAGTTGATAGTCTTGATAAACAGTAGTCTAGATTAGTTAAAAGAACTCGTGCATGCATGTAACACAATTATATACTCCGTAATATTTTAACATATATGGGTTGTAAACGGCCGGTAAAAAGTGAGTGGAATTTGGCTAATCTTTACTGGAAAATGGTTTGGAATGATGGGACTCGTCATTTAGTTGAACTATAAGTTTAGTTTATTTATGTGAGCCCCCTAGATGACCTAGATACGCTTGGCTTTTGGGGCAAACATCGTAATAAAGTTTATATACCAAAAAACCCTTGATATCAGTACTCAATATCATAAGAATTATATATACTCGATATAGCAAGAACTCAGTATATACTAGTCTATATATACTATACTCAACATAGTATGTGTGCTTTGATTTCATTAAAAACTGCAAGAAATTAATCATGTTGTTTATAAAGTTATTGTAAAGGGAGGGGTCATTATTTATGG